AACACACCATAAACATGTTTCCACATGTGCTCATTCCATAGCAGAACTGCCAAGCAGCAGTTGAGCACTGATGAAAGTAGGGTTATTACAGCCATGCAGGATTTTTGACAAAGAAATTGTTTTGTTCTGTTTTATTAAAAGGAATGCTGGACTTTAGCTACACTCATTTTAGTTTACAGTATATAGTTCATAGATACTTTAGTAACTGTATCCTGCAAGTTTATATTCACATTTTCAGCCAGTATTTTTGGGATATTTGCAGTTTGTGTACATTCACAAAATGGAGAAGGTTTGTGGGGCAAAATCTGATTAAGCTGTGTGTATGTGTTCTTGTTTTTGTGTATTTGTGCAGCCTGAAATCCAGGAGTTACTGTTTTTCAGGGGAACGACAGTCTATGTGTGTGTTGTGTGGAGCTGAGCTCTGAATCTTGAATGTGTGCACGGACTTGCAGACCTCGGCTCTGAGATGTAATATGATTTGCAGTATTGAACAGGTCCTGGTCATATGACTGGTTTAAGGTACCACTTGCACACGGCTGTGCCTGAGTGTGGTGTGCTTTTGTCTGGGTGTGTGTTAATGTACATATGTGAGCTTGCCTTCTTGTATTTATACACCCTTTTTTCACAAACCGTTTTGCAGAAATCTGAGTGTTTGTTAGTGTGGCCTCCGAAACAGCAGAAATGCAAAGGTGTTGAAGTTTACTGTGTGGTTGAACAAACAAAAATTCTACATTAATTTTGTTGTTCTTGGTTTTAAATAAAATTTATTTGGGAAAGGTTACTTGAAAGTAAGGCCGCTGCCAATTAACAGTCAATTACACATCTGGAAAAAAGTAAAGGTCTCTTTCAGACCCTGATGCAGGTTTTGTTTGCAACTTTCTGTTTACACATCTCTTATAATCAGAGCTTTATTTTGAACTAATAGACCATCAGAAATTATATCAAATAATTGAAATCATCCTGTAGCCTCAGCCCTCTTTAGAGCACTGCTAGGATCAAATCCTATGAAAGCCTTGCCTCTGAATACTGTCTATTTTTTAACCGGTGTTGATGTATTTTTGAGGTGGAGATTCTCAGTTGTGCTTTTTCAGAGCTGGATATGGTCCATCATGTGATTTTCATTGGAGAGTGGCTGGAGGAGATGACCACAGTAAAAGCAAGTGAGGGTGCATGAGTGTGTCTTTGTGTGTCATCTGGCCTTGTTAACAAACACAGGTTGTTTTCCATCTGGGGGTCATTACAAGCAGAAGAGATGAGGCCCTAGGAGGTCTTTTAGAGTCTTTCTGAGAGGTTGTGTGTGCGCTTGGTGTTTTGCTGTGTGTTTTCTCTCCTGTGTGTGGAGAGCTCATAAGCAGGACGTTGCAATGGACAGGAAGCTCGGATCCCATCAGGCGTGTCAGCAGGGGCAGTTTTTCATAAAGTAGTAATCTCACCACACAAAGGGTTGTCCAATATTAGAGCCCCTACCCCTGAACTAATCAAGACCTGACCAACACTTCTCTTGGCTTGCCAGCCCTCTAAACATTACCTCATCTGGCGGCTTAGCCTAGCCACATGCAGCTCCAGCCTGCTGGTCTACATGATAACTCACTTAGCTCTGTATGATAGTGAGAACAAACAGAAATACAAGAAGGGATATAAAAGAAATTGGACCAGCACACAACTACCTATGGTGCCTGGTGCCAGTGAAAGGTATTTTAAAAGGGAGAGGAAAGAAAGAATCACTTTACCGTATCCTCCAGAAACTCTGGGAAGCAATTTGCTGGTATACAGTTTCTCTCCCCGCCATCCTGTTATTGCTATTTTCCCCCCTCAACTCTTGGAGCCTTCAACCTGAAAGGAGGTTTTTAAGTTCAGGCTTTGTGTCACTCGGAAACAGTGCATTTGTTTCCAAGGGAACAGGTCTGGGACGGTGAAACTTAGAAGCAGAGAGCACCTTTGTCCATGAATGGATGAAGAGGGACCAAAGCTGTCACTGAGCCAAAGAGCATGGCTTCAGGCTTAACCCCTGAAAACATGATGGTATGAAACAAATCTGCAAGATTCTTGATCCAACATCTACCCGAATCTGTTAGGAAATAAAATCAGCACACAAAGTGAATTTAGTACTTAGATTTACATAAGACAGAATTAGGGTGACCTACAGTCTGTCACTACTTTTTAAATGTTCTGTGAAGATAGTGAAGAAAGTCTGAGTCATGTGGTCATTATATTGGTCGCTAGTCACGGCAGCTGAATGATAACCTAAGCCTCAGTAAGAGAACATTTAGCTACCTAGATTTTGTTGGTGAAACATTTTTGTCACTGTAATTATTGTGGTTACAGCAGGTAACATTGTTCTATTAAACTGAAGCATTATGCACTGTGGCCCATTATCACAGGTTTCATACTCATTAGTTGGGTAATTTTTGTTCACCTGTTTTATTTGAATAATGTTTAGAGACTCAGAACTTTGTTTTCTTACTATGTTAATCTTATGATTACTCAAACTACTGCAGTATGACTTTATCTTGCCTTTGAAAACAAAGAAAGGCTATATTTGCTCTCCAATTGTGCTGCTGGAAAATAAATGTTTTTTCGAGTATTCATGCAAATTTGGGTAAAGATGGAATAAATTAATTTGGAATTCCTCTGTCCTTTGTCAACTCTTCCCTTGAAAGAGCCCCTCTCTGAATCATTTCTCTGTACTTTGTCTTTTTCAGATGATCTTAGGTGAGCACTGAGAAGAGGCTGACTAATGGAAAGATGATCCCAAGAGATTCAACAGGTAGGGATGACTCTGGTTTTTGTTTGATCTTCACTCCATAGAATATGTGATCGCACACAGTGAAGTTTTGTTATGAGCACTGATAGTTGCTACAAACAACTAGAGTAGGGTACATTTAAACAGAGGCAGCAGTGGTAGATTAAATGTATAAGAGACACAATTAGGAGGGTGGCACTGGCTTGATGCCTATTTTCTTGTTGTTTTTTTTTTAACTGTGTAACTCAAGTCGTGACAGCACGGTAAAGATTGCAGTGGCTCAGAGATATCACTTCAAACATGGTCTCTCTCAGGAGCCTCAGATCCTTTCAGTGGAGGTGAATGAAGATATGCTTTGATGGCCCACCACAGAGTCGGTGGCCTTCAAAGAAACCTGTTGATGGGACTTTGCAGGGCAGCCGGCAGGCTAGATGCGTGGTACTATATATATGCACCCATCAGGTTAGTCGTGGGAGTTCTCAGTGCAGGTCAAACAGGCTTGACCCCAAAACGAGTAGTCTTTTTCTATAGATTGTAAGATTAGATTGTCTTTGGTTCTTCTACCTTGTTCTCACAGTAAATGAAGGGGAACTCTGTGTGTGGATGGTGGGGAGCCAGCAGACAGGTACAGTAGATGTGCTGATGAGGAAGGGCGATATGGGCCGGTCTCAGTCGCAGCCCCAGGCACAGACAGACAGAGAGACAGGCAGGCAGGCAGGCAGGCAGGCTGAGACTCAGAGGCAGGTTAGGACCTGGTTCTGTACGCTGATGCTGCTCTTCTGGCTCTAGTCCAAGGTGAGGCATAGGAACGAAACGTGGGAAGGGAAAAACCAGAATGGAGGGCAAGGGAGAGATTGAGAAAATCAGGTAAAAGAAAGCTTGTTGAGAGGTGAAGCTGAAAAAGCATAAAACTAGAAATATGGGCAGATAATAAGAGAGTGTTAACAAAAACAGTGAGAAAGTGGTTGTAGCTTGGGCCTGGGGAAGCAAGCTGGAATGGGATGAGGATGTGTGAGGCCCAGGGGGAAAGAGAATGAAGCACAGGAGGAGGGAGATGAAGAAACAGTACAAGAGCGAGGCCGTATTCTGCACGCTGGCAGAACGTGACACATTGCAGGTACACCAGCTCAGTGCAGACAGGCAGAAAGAAGATGAAAAAAGCTGATAGATGACTGCTTATCCTCTGACGCGTTCCTTCCCTGTGCAAAGAACAGGTATGACAGGCCGGTTATGGGTGTGTTGGGGCAGACAGTGTAATGTCATTTTGTGGGAGGTTGTATGCACAGACGCAAGGAAAACACAGAATGTGTTTTCAAGAGCTACCTTCTGTATCTACATTACCTCGCCTTTGGAAATTCTGACATAAAAACAACAACTATATATAATAAAATGTTGCCATATCCTGTATGTACGGTGTGAGAAGCGTGTCAGTGTTCAAGTGCACATGATTTTTTTCAAGTGGTCTTATTCAGTCATTATTTTCTGTCTTGTGTTTCCAGGATCATGCTAAATTCTGGTTTGGACTATAGACCAGCATCTCCTGTAGCAGATATTTGCTCCTGGCATGGCTGCTGACAGCATGAGCTCCATCACTGACAGTCTCACTTTCATGATCCAGCACCCGCAGTTTGACTTGGAGAAGCTGTGACATAAACTCAGCAGGACAGTACAGTGTAATCTGCTGTTCAGACATTATGGAACAGATCCGTCAACTCTGCCGTCACTAGAAAGTCAACTTGATGACTGCACAGTCACCATATTTACCACATATTGTTTGACTTTTTATAAACTGATCCTGGTTTAATATTTCCATTTATATACATCTGCTCTTGATATTCTGTGTTTATTTATACTATTACTCATGCACTGTAGCTGTGACAGTTACTGGATACATTATCAACAAGCGCCGGGACTTTAAATAGAAACTAAACAGATGGTATTCTCAGACTGAAGACCAGCACAGTCGCATATACAGTTTATCTAGCATAGAGCACCGTAAATCTCTTCTGTTGTGTAAAACAAATTAAAACACATAATCCAGATTCCTCAGAAGGATTACTCAGCCTCACCTCTTGTAACTGTGTCCACAAAGAAGCCATTGTCATCAAGGTGCTGATGAATGTGAACCAAAAACTCCTGTTGACACTGCAATTCATTGTAACACATTCGCAACAGGTGTTAATATTAGCTAATAATCCTGTCCAACTGTTTGTCGCCTTGATGATTTATAACTCCTTTGTTGTGTCTGCAAAATCCTTTTATCAGGAATAAAAGGTGTTGCTGTCAATCTATCAGATTATCACCTGATGACATGCTTTAGTGATGTCCATTATGTTTATGCAAATGTGTGCACTATTGTTATTAGTTGTACTGAGCATATGCAACTCTTCCTTTCCATGTCTGTTCAGGTGATAATAAGAATAAAAGTGAATTCTAAAGTGAAATGGAAAATACGACATTTTAAATGTTGAATTGTTGAAGGAAACCAGAGGCTTTACTTGACCAATGTGGATAGCAGATCAGTTTTGAAACTATGTAAAAATGTATTGTGCTAAAGCATCATCTACCTTCACATGACCTTTTTCTGAAAGTAACAACGTTTTCCTGCAAAATGTGACATCATGAAAAAATGTTTGCATGCTAAGTTCAGTTTCTGTGAATCTTGTATGTAGGATGTCAGAGAAGTGCAGTCTAAGTCACCAGTGGTCACACTGCAGGGAGTTTTCATTAGTTTGTGAATAAAAATCCCCACAGCTTCTGTAGCTTCTCTAGAAAGGCATTCCAGCATACATTACAAATTCAGTTATTGTTATCGGTTAGTTTAAGTGAGTTCAACAATTCAATAGTGACTTCCCATTCAACTGTCTTTCACTGTCAATTTCAGCTTAATTCAATAAGGTGGGGGTGGGTCTCCTCAGGGGATGGGACATTGGTGTGTGAGTGTGGGGTAGCAGAGTTGCTAAGGAGGTAATTATTCCTCAAAGGTTTGCTCAATGATGTGTTTGGATCTGCAATAAAACAAACGAGGCTAGACTCCACTGCAGTGTACTGTATCCAGGCCTTTATTCTTGTGCTTGACAATTTTGTGCAAAGCATCATAGGGATCATATTATGAATCAGATTTGTGGGGGATGGGGTCAGTGCCATCTGAAGAAGAAAAGGGGTGTGAAGGGCCCAGCGATAATGCTCTGGAAGTTGAGCTTCATGACATCTTTATGGCCCTGCTTACGGTCAACAACATTAGCATGTTGACAATGCACTTCCTTGCTTGCCTGCCTCCCCCCTCCTTTTTACTCTCCATTTTTTTCTCACACACATACACAGCTCAGGGGAAAAAATGACCTCTCTGCAGCTCTCAATTCACTACACTTCTATAGCCCTGAATGGACCGGCTCAACAAAAGGTGACATAATTTTCTCAGGGTTTGATTGGCCCCCTCCATGCTACAGGATGACATCATGCAACATCCCTCCCCCTCCACCAACACATCACAACCAACACCAGCTCACCACTAAGCCCCTTCCCCTCCATGTTCTTGGATGCTGGGTTGCCAAGACAACAGAGTTAGGCCCAGGTCGTGGGGCAAGACTTGGCAGTATGTTGTGACTTGGCTGTCCATAATGAGCTCAGGCAGGGTTGCTCTTGTGTATGCAGTAAAGAGTCTTGGGAAATGATAGGGGGAGACATGAAGAAGAGGAGGAATGAGGGACACTGTCTTGGTATAATAATGAGTTCCTTTTTGTTTCACTTCTCTTCCATAGGATGTGTTGACTCTGCAACTGAAAAAGTATTTCAGTAAGAAGTGTCAAAACACAAACTTTGAATGTCAGGTTTTGTGTTGATCTGTGCTCTTTTGCTTGAAACTGCAAGTTTTATTGTGTCTCACTTTATCTGGTGGCAGGGATGCAGACTCATGCAGAGCCCACAGGCCACACTGTAAATGCATGACATGTTTTCACAAATAAACCCATTTTAAAAAGAGGAGTAATTGGGGTGTTCCTCAGTGCATCAGTTTATGACGTCAAGTAACTGTAACTGACCCTGACTAATAAGTACCACTTTTCATGTTGGTGTGCATCCAGGACCATTATAGGCCCTGTACACCAGAGTATCACACACATACAAATGCCCATTTCCCCTTGGAATTATTGTTAATGAGAATAATTTGAAGTGAGGTTGACATGCAGCCTGCAGCCAAACCTTATTGGTTTTAAACACTCCTGCAGCACAGACAGCTTTAAGCCCACTCCAAACCATTTCCTCAAATTGGACTTATGTCTGAAGAAAAAAATGACACATTCACCACTTGGTCTTGGAAAAGGTTCACATTTCATGCTGAACATTCCTTAAAGAATAAGGATAAGCATGATACACAGTAGAGATTTTACTGGTACATACTGGTTTTACTGGACAAAATGAGATAACCTTTTCTTTTAGCTACCCCCAAACAGCTCTCCATCTTTATCTTGTCCATGATGCCCACTTTAAAGTGCCCCTCTCCACAGTCTTCATTCTTTCTCTGTGGTATGATATGATTAAATGTGGTTTACAGGGTTGGCCCCCTCCTTGGACTTGCTTAGAAGAAACCATAGCTATAGTGGGTTGTCAAGCTTGGATGAGTGTTGACTGGGTATTGGTTACCTTTGGCATGCTGAGGGTGCATGGGCTCCCATGATGTTGATCCACTCAGCTTTGCTTGCACTGGAGAAATGGTGGGAATTCACTTCTTTTTCTTTTCTCGTATTTTCCACAAATGCTCTTTGTAGCAGTAGCATATTTTCCAACAGGTTTTCACCTTCTAATATGTCAATGGATTCACCTTGAGTTTATTGTAGCCATATTTTCCAAAGTAAGAGCTCTATCAATACATAAACTGCAAATTGATAGTGACATTAAGGGTAGGTACTTCCCAAAAATCATAAAACACTCACCAGTGTTTATGGTTTTTCCACAGTGACAGGCTTGATTGGCAATGTGACACACTAGATGAGGCAGTTGCATGGCAAAACCGTCCTTTAGTCTGGGCAAGCACCCTCTCTAAAACCCTCCATCCCACGCCTCTTCCTTATGCTTAATCCCCATTGAGAAGGGGAAGGGGAGACTCTGGAAGCAGGAGAGGATGAAGAGGAGGAGGGGAGCAGCAGAACAGGCCAAAGGCTCCACTGACATCCATGGGAATCTGCGGATCCATTCAGTGGTAATTATCAGCATCAATGCAGAGAGGCAGTATCAAGGCTAGGGGTGGGGGCAAGGGGGTGTGGGAGAGTTTTTGGGGGTGGGGTTGGGCGGGATTAAGAGGAGGAGTGGGGGTCACTCCAAGATGGAAATCATGGCATAGCAGAAGACATTTAAAGAAAGTGAAAGAGAGAGAGGCGGACAGCAGTGTGCATTTCTGTCGATAGTGGTAAAGATAATGCGAGCTTGACCTTATGAGTAAGCACATTTTGAATCAGAGCAGCATTTCCCTTTCCTTTGTGTCTGGTCTCTGGAGAAGTGATTACAAGAAAAGACATATTTAAAGACAGAGGAACTGAAGAATACATTATCAAAAGTGAAGCAAGTGATCATGAACATTTATTCTCTAAGTCATCTGACATTTGGATTTTATGTTTTAGGTCACACAAAGACTGGATGATTTAAACTTAATTCACAGCATAAAATATTAACTCCTAATGACATATAAGAATCATCATCATAGTTTTTAATATTGGCCTGTGAAACAGTGAAATAGTTCATGTGCATAGGTGTTTCCTGCCTGTCTGCATGAAATGAAAGGCCATAAATGCTCTTCAGGTCTATGATGAAGCCCTCTGTTCTCTCTACATCATTCATCACTCTGACAAGCCATTTCACTCCTGGATTCAGAATTCCAGCTCAGAGACCACCTCAAACGCTCAGGGTTGTCCCCGTTTGGTGAGAACGTCACTCCCAGCCCGCTGAACACCACGTTTCAACTTTTGCCGACTAGCTGCAGAGCCAGATCTGTCCAACGGGGAAAATTATGACAAATTATTTTTATTTTCTCCCATTTCTCACTTGAAATCTGAAAAATTTCCACCAAAGGATGATTCAGCACAGCAGCTTTAGTGGTTTGACCTTTACTGACTAGCAAAGAGGAAGAACAAGATTTAAATGGAAGACACCGTCATATGCAGAGGTGCGTTTTCCCCAGCAGCTCTGCTAATTTCTTCTCTATGTGAAAGAAAGGTCAAGTCAAAGGTCAGGTCAGTACTTGTCTTTTTCTTTGGAAGGCCTAGTGATATTCTGGAGTTTACCTTGAAAAACACAGTCAGATAGAGATGTCTCATTATGCATCTGGTGAATTTAGACAGAGGGTGTCAACCTGTCAGGGGCACGGATTAATGATGTCTTCATGTCAAGCTGTCAGAAAAAAATGTCACAATAAGCTGGCCACATTATTTGTGCAGTGTGCATCCAGCTCTGAAAGTTCAAATATATACATACTAAGTTCCTTTACTCCTATATACTGTATGTGTGTGTTGATGGCATTTACTCTACAGCCTATTTCACATGTGAAAAATGTATGGTTTCCTCAAAAAAATAAAACAATTTCACAAATCACGCATATTCTCAAAGGCTTTACGCACTTAACTGTATTTTGTAATAAACCAAACGTCATTATCTCTGGGTAGTCATCTGCCTTCCTGCACCCAGCAGGTAAAAACCTCTGCCACTAAAGTTTCTATTAAAAGTAAAAACAGTCGATGGCTGCAGGTCAGGCACTTTATCCTTGAACCATCCATAGCACTTACTCATTATGCACATTTAAAGAAATAAAATATTGTACAGTGGTAGATACAAAAGAAACTGATTCATCAGTAAACCTCATGTTTAAATGTGAATTTTCAAACTAACTAGGTGATTTTTTTTTTACACTAGCTGAAGCAGGTAGCTGATGTTTTCTGCTGATATTGCACCAGTGGTCTAGTGACAGAGTTTGGTTGGCATTTTGTAGCTATAATATGTGGATACAAATTTCAGAATCCTATTGTTATGTCCTTCCACACTGCAGGAATCCTCTGTTTAGGGAACAGTGTGACCCTTTGACCCACACACACAAAGTCTCTGTTTTACATGCAGCATTTGAATTTCATTTCCTCATGTGTGGTGCTGGCAGAGGGGTGAGGGACAACAAGATTTCACCAAGCTATCTATCACAATGAGAGCACAAACAAGATGGTGGTGTTGTGTCACTTATGTACAGTATCAGCACTGTGTGCAGTGGGGATGTTTCTCTCATGTCTCCCTGCACAATGTCTGAAACCATGTCCTCAGAGATTTGAGCAGAGAATATCTAAAATATACTGCAGGTACTGCAAACACATTCGTAGACATGTATCTCACATAGCCAGTCCAAGTTCTAGATAAGACCTGGGTCTGGGCTGTGTGATAGCATCAGCTCACAGGGTAGTCAGACCCTGTTTACACAGTGAGGCCCTCAGCATCAACACACTCTTCAGATTTGGATTATTCACCCCTGTTGCACATATCCAGGGATATAGCATTAAAATTAATCAACACCTTCTGCTCTTTTCACACCTTCTGTTGCTTACTGTGGCATGATTTCAATCAACCACAACCAAATTTAATATTCTGACTGCAAACAAAATGCTACCAGAATTAAATAAGTTTACATATAAACTGTTAATAATTCCAAACAGGGTAAAGGATACATCCAGTGTGTGTCCCTGAGACGGAAACCTGAGGACCTCAAGACAAAATTAGGCCTGCTTTTCATCTTGAAACAGAGGATGATCAAAATATTGCAGACTCAGGGTTTTGTTTTTTTTTTACATGTGATTTGGATTTCAAAGGCAGCTTTGTCTTCCTGTTCATCCTGTTTGAAATGCAGGCCAGAAAGTTGAGGTTGTGTGCTCCTATCAGTGAGCCTCAGAATGTTCTGGTTCTTGCTAGAAGTTTAAAACCACCACACCGTTCATCATTTCACGTGTTCGATCTATAGAGGGTCAGTATTTCATATTCTGCCTTGAGTATGATGAGCAACACATTCCATAATTATAACATTCACACATTGTATTTTTTTTAATAAGCAAAATTTGAGATAATCAAAATGTGTTTATAGATTATATGCGTTTCTTAGAAACATGACTTTTCTCATTTTATACTTCTAAATTCAATGTAATTAGATATAACAATGCTGAAATTAAAACATCTGCTTTCAGCTGGTTAAAAGTTGGGAGGTTAGGTTATCATCAGGGCTAGGTCATGTGTATAGTGGGAAAGAAATATGGTGCAGTTGGTCAAGCATGGTCACCTTGAAGATTGAGGATTTAGGATGTTATTGGATATCAGATGATTCTTCAGTGGTGACACTTTAATGTTCCCCAAGTGATGATGCTAATTTCAAAGCCAGTCAAATCATAAATCACTATGTGGACATTTTTTTTAAACAGCTGCACAGTATTTACTGTATAGAACCTAAGCTTTGTGCATTTTTGCAGTGCACTAGTGTCTGGACACGACTCAGCAAGTCCATTTGCTAAAACAACACACTAACTGAGCTACTCCCATCAGCTTACTTTCACTGTACAGAAACAAACACAAAGTCATTAATGTAAGGGAAATTTATTTGGATGTAGAAAATCATTGCATTGGCTTTTGTCCAGTTACTTGAAGGTCTGCAGCAGGAGTGTCTGTCACTGGCAATGTACGACACACAATACAGCCTGATCAGGCAAAGCGGAGTGCTAAAAACAGCCTTTTCAGTGCAAAAGGCCTAGAATATGGAAGATTTGTTTGACTTGCTCATATGCTAAGGCACGTTTTAATTTTCTAGTTTCTGTGTGAACACACACCAATTGCTGACAGTGATGGGTGTTTTAGGGCCGGTGCCTGATGTGACTAAGTCAAGATTGTGC